CTATTTGTTCAATGCCATTGTGAGAACCTTCTGCAAAAACGACAACTTGCTTAGCTTGGAGCAGGTCAGAGCTCTTTCTGGAAACTGGGCTGGAGTATTACATTTTGAAGGAAAGTTCTGTATTGATTTTGTAACGCTACTGCCCACACATTATTGAGAGCAAAGGTTTAGTTAATTGCAGATTGTCCTCAACTTAAAACCAGTCGCTTAGTGACAATCAGAGTTAGGATGGACCTGCCTTGATGACCTAGATTTGAAGTTCTGATGGTCTAGCCCCCCCCCCCCCATACTATAGTTTTGCCGAACACAAACGTTTACTTTGTTTTTGGCAAACCCCTGCAGTGTTTGCTTAATGGCTGCTGCAAAAACCGTGAGTGACCCGATTTACGGCTATAATGGAACCTGACGGTTACGGTTGTAATTTAAGAATTATTTGTATCTGCTGCTCCCCGCGCGATGGTAGTTCTCACAGTATCAGTTAATGATCTGCACCAGTTTTTTGCATCTGATTTTTGAAGAGGACAACTCATGGTGCTTTTTTTTTTTTTTCCTTTCCAATTTTACTTTTAAAGATGCATGCTATTCCTTTGCGGTCTTCCTGGGTAATGACCTGTGCGTATGCACCATCTGGCAATTATGTCGCTTGTGGTGGATTAGACAACATCTGTTCTATCTACAATCTGAAGACAAGGGAGGGCAACGTACGAGTGAGCAGAGAACTACCCGGCCATACCGGTCAGCCGCCTTCTGCTTCTTTTTGTTTTGTTTTTTCATTATTTTTTAATGAAACTGTAATACACGTAACTTTCTCTTGCCCTTTAAAAGCAAGGGGGTCAAATGGGAAAAAAATAATTGCATATTTTACCTCTCTGGAATTGCTCTTAATAGGAACATTTTTCCAAATAAACAAATGGCATTTACTAATATAGAATTTGGTCCATTGATTCTGTGTTAAATAACTATTATGGATATTGGGGTTTGTTTGGTTTTTTTTTTTTGCAATATTTGCACATATGTCATTTGCTGCTTTTTATGTCCTGCCCAAACAATTTAAAAATGTTTATTATTAAGCATCCAGCAAATTAACTTCATAAGTGTTATAGACATTTATGGCTGGCAGCTAGCTAGCTAGCTAGCTATTTTATTTTATATTTTATATTATTTTATATTGTATATTTTATATTATTGTATATTTTATATTATTTTATATTGTATATTTTATATTATTTTATATTTTATATTATTTTATTTTATTTTTTATTATTTATTTTATTTTATTTTTATTATGTTATTTTTATTTGTTTATTTGAGTTAGATGTCACTGGGCCATCCCATTCCCAATCTGTTCACTGACTCAGCTTTCCCCAGATCTTGAGATTGTTCTTCTGACTTTAGACATTTGTAGTTTTAAGTACTGTAATAAAAGTGTTTTTAATAAAGGCTGGAAGGAAGCAGAATTCTGGACTTAATTTGAGTTGCAGTTTGAAATAGCCATTTTTCTCTTTTTAGGGTACTTGTCCTGTTGTCGCTTTCTAGATGATAACCAAATAATTACGAGCTCTGGAGACACTACCTGGTGAGTATCCTGGAACTCTTTTTTCTTTTTTTTTAATGAGCTCCCCTAGTTAATTATTTAAGCTTCTGAATTCAAATACTTTTACTTCACTTGCAGTGCTCTGTGGGATATCGAGACGGGCCAGCAGACTACTGCGTTTACTGGACATACCGGCGATGTCATGAGTCTCTCTTTAAGCCCAGACATGAGCACTTTTGTTTCGGGTGCCTGTGATGCCTCCTCCAAGCTCTGGGACATCCGAGATGGGATGTGCAGGCAGTCATTCATGGGACACGTATCTGACATTAATGCAGTTTGTGTAAGTGACTGTGCTCGTGAATATACGCGAATATAGATGCTTCTACGCACGCACTAGCTACTTCTCCTCTACATCTGCTAGACGGCTTTGGATTTTCCATCAGTGTATCAGACACGTGCAAATGCTTTTCATCTCTTCCATCTGTGGAAGCCAAGTTTTCATAGGCCGAGGGTTTCTTAGGGATAATTAGTTCAGCAGAAGAGTTAGCTGAGCTAGAAGTGTGTGCAATTTCTGGGGGGGCGGCGGTGGGTATCTCAGGGTGCATCACGCGTCATCCACGCAATCTCTTTTAACGTTTTAGAGCAGTGTTTCTCTATACTGGCCCCTTGAAGCTGTGTGGACTTCAACTCCCAGAATTCCTTCCTGACTGGGGAATTCTGGGAGTTGACGTCCACCCAGCTTCGAGTGGCCAAGGTTGGGAAACTCTGTTTTAGATGGTTAATTGTTCTGTTATTTGAGAGAACTGTCTTAATTTGCTGGTGAAGAATAAAGGACTTCGCAAATGTTTAAGTACATTAAGATTT